TAAAATTCAACATTGAACCCCATTTTAAAAAACGCCTGCTTATGCATCTAGAACTTTCCTGAATCTATGTTTTTTCCCTTGTCTGTGTTCTGTAGGCCCTGAGAATTGGGACTAAGTGCTAAAATTGCTCTGTAGGCTGTGATAAATCTTGACTTTATTTCCTGCCATATATGTAAGATTTTCAATGTCTAAGCTTGGGTTAATTTTCCATTTGGAGCTATATCAAGAGCCTTAGGCTCTAAGGATTTGAAGATGGAGAGGTTCAGGGGAGTGCTATATTGGTCAAAAATGCCTAAGGCTTCAAATAGCAGAAATCTGCTTAGAAAATAGACATTTAACTAATATATCAATAAGACTGGAATTAGGTGGTTCGAGGATAGGTATAGTGGTTCAACAACATCAGCAAGGACCCAGGTTCTTTTTGTCTGTCTGCTAGGCCAACCTCGGTGGGTTGGCTTTCTTCCTTGTCCTTGTTGCCTCATGGTCTCAAGATGGCTGCTATAGCTCTAAGTGTCAAACATCCATATTCAAAGCAGAAAGAAGGGACAGGCCCCATTCACTATTTCTCTTTGAATCAAAAAACAAAATTCTTCCCAGAACGTCCCCCAGCCATTTCCTAGTATGTTTAGGCAGAACTAAGTCACATGCCCATTTCTAAGTCAACGGACAGCAAAAGAAATAAGTAACCAGCTGGTGCAATGACACACATGGCCCTGCTGAGCCATGGAGTGCCAGGGTGCCTCTGCGGCTGGCTCCTTTCTCCTTTTACAGAGTCCCAGCTCTGCTCTGGTCATTCCTTTATCCTCTTGCCCAAGGCAGGCTCATTGTTCACATAAGAATTACAGAGTTTAGTATTGAGAACTCTTCGAACAGAAACTGCAATTTCAGAGTGTTCTGAGTTCTTTTACGTTGTATTCTTAGGGTTTCTAAGGAAACGAGCCGCGGTTTGCCGACCACTGGGCTAGCACATTGCTCCACCCAGGCCCTACTTGCCCTCAACATCTTGTCACACACTGCCTATACTGTCTTATTTTTTTTTTGGTTCAAATTTCCCAAAAGGAGAGTCTGACTGGTCTAACTAGGTTTTTTTATATTTTTGAGCCAGGTGACTTCAAAAGTCCTTGGCCAGTTTATCATGGATCCTGGTCCAGTGACCTTGTATGTCTGTGCAGGGAGGGGAAAGAGGCAGGGTCATGTGATACAACACAACCACCTGGCAGTGAGGGCTGAATGAGGCAGCTCCCCACAAAAGGGGTTGTGAGGTAGGACAGGTGCAGTGGAGTGGAGCAACAACATAAGTTTAGGGTACTCTACCAAGAGAGAGACCACATGGGAGAAGACTAAAGAGGGCATGAAACACATTTGGACATTTCAGTAGATGGTACATGGAGAAAAGTGGCAGACAGTACCTGACCTATGGCCACAGTCCAAACATCATGGTCAAATGCAGCCATCTGGTCACTCCAGTTGAGACCCAGTCATGCGGGAGCAGAAATAAACTGCCTCACAGGATTGACAGCATAATCAGGTTCTTGAATCTGCCATGACTCAAGAATCTCCCCGAATTCCCACAGCAGAAATTCCAGTGACTCCTTGGAGAAAACTGGATATCTCTCGGGAATGTGGCTTTAATAGGGATTGGAAGTGGTCAGTACCTACTGGATTCTCTCTCTCATGAGCCATTTTGTGGCTTTGACACGCTGAAGAAGGGATTGTGGAAGCAGGACTATTTCAATATGGCCATAAACAGAGGCAGAAAGTGGATTGGCTATTCCAGCAAATGGGATTTAAAATCCTGCAATGGGAAAAGTAGAACTTTCAAGAGCATAGGTAATGGGCAGACCGGGATTCGAATCCTTGTTCTTCTACGTATTAGCTGCATGAAAGTCAAGTTATTTAACTTCTCTAAGTCTTATGTTCTTTATCTGTAACATGAGGATAGAAACATCCTATTTCATAGGATGATTAAATGAGATACTGTAGGCCCTGATCAGGTAGCTCAGTTGGTTAGAACATCATCCCCATACATCCAGGTTGCAGGTTCGATCCCCGGTGAGGGCACAGACAAGAATCAACAAATGAATGCATCAATAAGTGAAACAACAAATCATTGTTTCTCTCTCCCTCCAAACCAATAGATGACTTTTTAAAAATAAATAAATGAGATACTGCATGTGCAGCACTTGGCACAGCTGGCATTAAAGGTGTTAGTCACTGCAATTGTGCCTTATACACTCAGTGAGTGGGGTTAGAACCCCAGCAAGAACAGTCTGCTTGTCTCTGAACATCAGAAGAGGCTGCCCTGGCTGTTCTGGACAGGAAGTCTCCTGGTGTCCTCTGTAGTAGGGAGTAGGGGGTAGATCTGGTTTCTTGAGCAATTTCCTAGAAGCCTTTGGAGCTGCTTTGGCCAATTCTCTAGGAGTGTGGAGCTCACAGTCACCTGACCCTCCAGTCCCTTCCTCCTTCAATAGCCTTCACTTCATTATCCATTCAATCTCCTATGCCTGTTTCCATGATTTCTTAGTCACTTTGGTCTTGGCATAGTCATTAGAAGAGTGACCTGAGAGGGTGTTCTGGAGACTCCCTGCAAATGACACTCCATCTAAAAACTTCCAAGACCGGAGCACAAAACCCGGCGACTAGCTGTCCTCCTGCCCGTGAACGTGTAAGCCTTGCTAAGGAGATGCAGAGGCAGCTGGCAAGGACTCTCCCTTTCGTTCTCTTCTTAATGCTCAATGGTGGGCTCACAGCTTCACCAGGTTCAACGTCCCGCCGCCTAGCAGCAGCCTTGGGTCCCTAGGAAATGCAGTTTTCACAGGCAGTGCCAGCACTGGAAGCAGCTCTGATATCCCACCAAGAACATTCTAACTTACTAGCTGTTAAAGAAAGGTGATGAGCCCTGCTGGTGTTTCTCAGTGGTTAGACCATTGGCCAACGTCCTGAAAGGTCAAGGGTTCCATTCTCGGTGAAGGGCATGTACCTGGGTTGTGGGTTCACTCTCCGCCCCAAGTTGTGGCACGTGCGGGAGGCAACTAGTCATTGTGTCTCTCACATTGATGTTTCTCTCTCTCTCACATTCCCTCCCTTCCACTCTCCCTGAAAAGCAATAGAAAAAATATCCTCAGGTGAGGATTAACAACAACAAAGAAAAGTAGAAGAGAGCTCTAAGGCTCTATAAGACCTTAGATGTATACACAGAATGTCCCCCCACACTCTTTTTTCTTTCCCCAGGGGAGGCAGAGATTTTGCAACAACAAAAGGCAGGAAGCCCTTTCTGTGTTTTGTGCTGGGGACCCAGAACTTTGCTATACATCAAAGGGGTGATGCACTCTCACTGGGGATGGGAGTGGCCCAGGAGGACATTCACTACAGCCATTAACATCTGTTCTCATTGCCTCCACGAACTTCTCAGTTGCTGCTAACTATAGACACAATTCACGTACTCCATGCCAGGTGAATACCTACTAGGTGCTAAGCTAGGCACTGTGAATATGGAGATGCTTCAGACCTTGCCCTTAAGAGCTCCAAGTTCATGCCGAAAGTGGTCCCTAAGCCAGCCATACTTAGCCCGGACACTCTGATGGACAGCTCTGCAACAATACTGATTTCTTGCTTGTTTCCTGCCCGCCCCGCAAGGTCATTCCCAGGATTAGCACAATGCATGGTGGGTAGCAACAGCTCTCAGGCAGAGCTGAGGCAATGGGGACAAAGCATCTGCCACCTCGGGGATATCGGGGCTAAGCAGACTGGCCTGCCTGGGGGCGGCGTCAGGTGGGGAGGTGGTAATCCCAGTGAGATCACCTTCCTACTGTATGATGTGGAGGAGACCAACCAACAGTCATCCCAGAGAAGGCGGCTCCAACTTCAGTCAAAGGTAAACGCACCTGCATCCATGACTGCCCTGAACCACGATCCACCAGCTTCCTGAGTCTCTCCATGTCTCTCAGAGGTGCCAGGAAGAACATAAAGATGAGATGTGTTTTTTCTCTGTCAAAGAGCTTGAAGTCTGTTGGAGAAGAAAAAGGCTTTTGATTATAAAGGTATGAAGGACTGGGACGTTGCGTTGAGTGCTGAGTGGGTTTTACAGGCAGTGAACGCTCATAGATGTACAGAGCAGAAACCCAGCCCAGGCCTGCAGGGTCCCTGGAAGGCTTCAGGGAAGAAGTGGGCTTTGGGCAGGCTTGGAGGATGGGCAGGATTCAGGGGGAAGGGCTGCATTTCAGGGGGAGTGTGGTGTGGGCAACGACCCCGGGTGCTTAGGACATAGGCCCCTCTTCATTACCTGTGCTCCCCCTGCTCCTGCAGTAATCACAAGAGGAGAAAGCCAGAGGCTGCTGGCTCCTTGCACAGAAGTTTCTCGGAAACGGGGGTGGGGGGGCCTGTGACACTCTCATTTCCTATGGTGTCATCACAGTGTGAAGCCAGGGTCAAGGCTGTGCTGTCAACACAAACCTCAGCCTTCCGGCCAGAGTAGAACTGTGGGGTCCTCCTGGGAGGACTGCTTCTCTTCAGAGGCCAGGATCTGGGGACTTAATGCTGATAAAGACATCATCTTGGGAAACCAGACTCTCAGCCCAAACCTGGCTCTGCTGGCACAATGCACGTGGCCAAACATTTGGACAGAATCCTGGCAGAATATCAAAGAACTCATGGAGCAGAGAAAATCTTTGAATATTATGAATAGAGAAAATTTCCATTCATCTCCTCATTCACACTGGAGATACCCTATGAATAGCAGCAGTGCGGGAAAATCCTCAGAGGGAGAGAGCAGCTGTCAGGGAGGATAAAATCATAGGGCCAGGCTCTCGTTCAGATGGAGCAGAGCCCACGTCAGAGCTCAACCTTTAGCGTCTCAGACAGGAGAAAACTCCTCAGTGAGTGGAGTGACGCACTGAGAAAGCACAAACCCCACCCACGAGCACATTAGCCATTCCGGGGCTAAATCTTTCAAATGTAATGAATTGGGGGTGGTGATCATTTGAGGAGAAATCAGCCCTTATTCATCACCGGAAGATTATGACTGCAGAGAGGGGTTATGAATGATGGAGCTCATGAAACACAGACCACGCAGGGCCCAAAGAAGACTGCGGGAGGGGCCTCATAAGAGAAAACACGATGAAAGGGCAAATCTAGTACTTGTATTTTTAGTACCAGACCTGACAGACAGACTTTGGCTATAGGGAAAGCAGGCATCCTGAGGGAGAGAGCTTGTTCAGGTGACACGGATGTGCACCTATAACCCTTGGGGTCCACATGCGGGGGTACTAATCTGTGCATGAGAAGAATTGGGCGCTGCAACTCTTGGCCATTTCCTCTCCATGGGGCTACAATGCCTCTCTTTCTTCTTCTTTCTTCAGTAAAGTCTTGGCCTGTGTCTTCACATGTGCGTAATCTCTTACTGGTGGTGTCAGGGGGGCAGGGGACCACCTGCCCATCAACAGGCCGGTGACTACCTTACATGTTTGACCGCTGGCAAGCATGCCGCAGGGGATGCTGCTGTGACTGGCTGGTCCAATCAGTTATTCATTCATTCAGCAAGTACCTTTTAGGTACCTGCTCTGATCTCTACCTGGCACTATTATCTCTGCTGAAGAACTAGGACAGGGAAGGAGGTCTCAGCAGCAAATGGCTTGGCAACTTCGGGGAAAAGAGAGGGGAATCAGGAAAACAGTAGCACCTCTGGGACTGTCGGAGTGTCTGTGTCCCCAGGTTTCAGGTTGGAGGGGGTTAGGAGAGAGCACTGGGGAGGGAAGGAGAAAGAACTCTGATCTGACGGTCTTTCACGTGTCAGGCCAGAGTAGGATTTCTCAGCGCAATCCTGCAAGCCTGGCACCCTTTACCTCCCTTTGTAAGTAAGGAAGGTAAGGCACAGGCACAGCCAGCAAGGGGCAGAGCTTTCCTTGAAGCTGGATCTGTTCACTCCAAACCCCGCTGTTTCTCAACAATCACAAGGGAGAGACCTGGTCCCGTAGCACCACTGTTCCCCAGGTATGTTTCCAGAGACTCCGGGGACAACAGGAGGCACGTGGTGAACTGGGGAGGAACTGGCTTTTGAAGACTCTACTTCAAGGAATTGGGAAAGGCACACTCATTCACTCCTCCATCCATTTACTAAATCTCTGTTGAGCCCTACGGAGTGCCAGGCACTGTGCTCTGGTGCTGGGAATGTGAGTGAATTAGCCTGCAGGGTCCCTGCCCTCATGGAACTTCCGTTCTAGAGGCCGTCATCCCACATGCTATGCTATGGGCAGCCCCTGCCCTTCTGCCTTTCTCTCAGGTGCTCATCTTTTCATCACAGTAACAGCCTGCTGACCTGGTCACACAGGGGGGCCTGACTGTTAGGCACTGGGAGAGCTGAAGTCTATTCTACATGCTCACACATGCTACGCACAGAGGAGAATCACATAAGCCAGATCCACAGGGCTGAGAGTGACTTCTGGGAGGAAGATGTCAGCTAAGACCTGGAAGAATAAGTTCCAGCCTGGTGTGTGCTGAGAAGCACCTTCCAGAGAGAAACACGCTAGAAGGTGTGCTAGTGACGGAGCAGAGTGAGAGGGGCTGGAAGACGGCCAGTGCCGTGTTTGTGAGGAGCACAGAATATGGGGTGGAGGGAGGAGAAGAGCGACCCAGCCAACAAGGGCCCTTAGGCTGGACCCTAAGAACAATGACCGTGAAAAATGTTGGGTTTGGGAGATGACCTGATCAGGTTTGTAGTTTATCCCCTCATTCAGAAGCCCAAGGCTGCAACAGTGAGGAGACAGCTGTTCAAGGATCTGTTAAATTGGTGCAGATGTGGTTATAGAGAGAATGTGAGTTCCGTCTTTTTTTTTCCTCATGAACCAGGGTTTCCAAGAGATGCAGTGAACAGAATTACTATAGGTGGCCTCAGGGGAGCTGAAGGAGACTTCATGGTTCCCCAGAAATTTTCGGATAGATATGCATGAGCAAACATCCCCCTCTTGTGGCCTAAAGAGGTATTGCTATTGTGTTCACAAACATGCCTGTAGGAACCTTGCTTCTCACTGTGAGAGCCAGTGAGAAAGAAGTTGGGCCTGTGGGACCAGGGGGTGCCCACCTCTTTTTTTTTTTTTAAATAAATCTGAAATATATATGCGTTAGGAAGACATTCAATGTTACCAGTGATTCTGGAATAGGTGATTACATTTTTTTTTTCATCCATATTTTTAAAGTTTCTGTTATGGACATGGATTACTTTTGTTAAAAAAAAGAGAGAGAGAAAATGTATCACGTACAAACCTGGTTGGTTACAAAGCCACAAAGAGAGGGTCTGTTTTGGGGGACTTCCTGAAGGATGCCTGACCCACTCTCTCTAGGCATGTCCTTCATTCCCCTTCAGCTCACACACACCCCAGCCTCTCCTGCCCATGGGCTTGGTGGTCCCTTTCTATCATATGTTCACCTTTCACTCATAAAGGCAACACCTTCCTGACCTGGTCACACCGGTGGGCCTACAGGCAGGTTCTGGGAGACCTGGAAGTCCATTCTGCTCTTGAGGGTTCTATCCTTTGCGGCTCAGATGCTGAACCAGGGCCGGGTCTGCCACGTGTGCTGCATCTATGGGGTCTTTGCCTGGACAACTTCTCTGATTTTGAACAAGGGGCTCACCTGGCTTGCAGGTTTGGTCACTCTCGTCACCCTCACAGATTTTGTTTCTCCTGCTTGCAACTCTTCAAACTCTTCTCATGGGTGGGCAAGCTGCTTGACTTCCCCTCTGGAAGGTTCCCTGATGCTGGTCTAAGGTACTGGAACATTCTGAGCGGTATTCCAGCACTGGTGCCTGCAAAGTTTCACTGAGTCTGCATGAGCTACCGATGGGGTCTTCTTTCAGCAAGTTCCTGATCTGAGCTGAACTCCTTGTCCTCAGTCCTTAGGTCACAACTGAAAGTATACAAAGTGCAAAGTAAAAAGCTATTGAAATAAAATCCATGCCTATCACAGGGGATCGATTACATAAATAATGGCATGTGATATAGCAATAAAAATGAGGTTGTAAAATAATAAATGATCCTACATTTTTAAAAAAGGTTATAAATACTATACATATAGTAAGATTATAAGTTGCTTTCATTTACTTTTTTTAAAAAAAATATTTTTATTGATTTCAAAGAGAAAGGGGGAGGGGGAGAGAGATAGAAACATCAATGATGAGAGAGCATCATTGATTGGCTGCCTTCTGCATGCCCTGGGGATCGAGTCCAAAAGCCAGGCATATGCCCTGACCAGGAATTGAACCATGACCTCCCGGTTCATGGAGCCACACCGGATGGGCTACTTTCAGTTTCTTTTTAGCTGTATTTGTATTTCCTATAATGAACACGTATTACTTTTATAAGAAAATGTCTCAAATTAATATTTTACAAACTTGGGGAGTGGATGAGGAAAAAGCAGGGGACCAAAATGGTAGTGGGGTGACAGGAGGGGAAATCTGAGAAGTAGGGAAGAGTAAGTTGAGCTCTGGCCACACAGGAAGAGGGTGTTACTAAGGAAGGGAGCCAAAAACGTTGCTCCAAGGGGCCAAGGTTAGTGACCTCCAAAGAGTGAAGTCCTGGGGTACCCCCTGGAGGGTGGCAGAGGATGGAGGCTTGAGGTAACTGCAGAACAGGTAAAAAGGAAGGGGCCCGGGCAGAGGGAAGAAAGCAGGATGTGAAGGTATGGTCCTGTGGTGGACAAAGAACTCATACACATCTTAAACAATAATTTAAAAATAATTTTATATGTAAGCACTTTGTAGTTTACATTTCTCATTTACTTTCTCCTCTATTATTTTATTGGATGCCTGCAGATAAGGAAACAGAGGTTCAGAGAAGTGAAAGGACTTGCCCAAGATCACATAGGATACCGTGGAGCCAGGACCTGAATCCAGTTGGTTCCAGTGTTCATTTTGCTGGGCTACGATACTCAGCTTTCCTTCCTGAGCATGGGCAGTGAAGGTGAATAAAGGCCAAGGGGGATATTACAATTAACTACTGGTAGTGATCGAACACTGACTGATTAGAACAGATGCTGGTCTCATCTGTAGATCCAGAGGCAGGGGCTGGAGTCCTCTTATAGGACCCGGCGATAAGCATTAGATGCTGGACCTTAGAGAGGTCCTGAGGGTTGGGGGAAGGGGGCAGGAGCAGGAGGGGAGTAACTAGAGTGGCCAAGGTGGCTATTAGGGGACACAGCAGAAACCTGATTAACATTAGTCTAGAAGCATTTCAATACTTTAACAACCCATCCCTCCATTCTGGTGGGAACCAGATAAGTGTCATCCTTGCCTCTGGCCTCCCCTAGTTTTGTGTCCCAGAGATCCCAACAGGGACAGGAGACAAGAGACTGTAGAAGCTGTTAAACATGTCGCTTATTTCAGTGGGGAGCTGAAACAGGACACAGAACAAGAAGAGGCTGAGGTTCTCCCTGATGTAGGAATCCACGGGCACCTACAAATTTGTGAAGTCAACTCTTGGTTCCTTGTGCTCATGCAGAGATCAGTGGACACTACTAACCTACAGCAGCAGCCTCCTAGTGGTGCTTCTAGGCTTTGCAATGAGTGTGTATTGTCCTGTAACGAAGGAGTGCTAAGTTCTGAGAACTTACAGCAAAGAAACAGTGACCTACCCACTCCTCTCGGAAGGAGACACAGGAGTGTGCCCGCCCCTCCACCCTGCCTGCTCCCCTGGGGCCGTGGTCAGCAAACCGCGGCTCCAGAGCCACATGCGGCTCTTTGGCCCCTTGAGTGTGGCTCTTCCACAAAATACCACGTGCGGGCGCGAGGTACAATGTGATTGAAACTTCGTGGCCCACGCGCAAAGGCCAGCTTAGGAGTACTCTAATTAAGTTAATAACAATGTACCTACCTATATAGTTTAAGTTTAAAAAATGTGGCTCTCAAAAGAAATTTCAATCGTTGTACTATTGATATTTGGCTCTGTTGACTAATGCGTTTGCCGACCACTGCCCCAGGGTGAGGTGGATGCCTCATCGGGTCTATTCTCCTGCTTCCCGACCCCCTTGCCTTTCCCTGAAGCAGAGCCCCCTCCATACACCCCACTGGGTGGCTTGATCTCCTAGGTTCCCTTCAAATTGAATACAGGCCTCATGTAGGGAAGAAGAAAAGATAAAGTTATTGTAAATAAAGCTCTCTGTGAGCTACACCATTGAGTGTGATTTGGCTAAAAAGCAATCACACCAGAATTCAAAACAGCCCACTGCTGTAAACTCCTCAGGAATGAAGGACACGGCTGTGGCTGGGGCACCTGTGAATGACTGAGACTCGGCTTTCCGTTCCCTTTGCTGTGCTCCAACTACCTGAGTAGCTCTGAGTTCTGGACTGAAGGCCTCACACTAGTTTGATGATCACACTCAGCTCTCAGCACAGACCTAAAGCTGTGATGCTCTGTCCTGCTTTCCAACACAGGCGGGCCCAGGAAAAAGAAACACCTTGCTCTCTTTTCCCGGGGTGCTGCCTCTTACCACTGGCTTGGAGGGACTGGTGCTCCCAAGACTCAATTGGCTGAAGCTGGTCGTGGGAGGGGATTCTTGTGCAGATGGTGGAGGTGCTATCTTCTCCCGAAAACGTCCTGTCAATTAAGAAAATTGGGCGCTCTGAAAGAAATAGAGAGAATTACTTGCTCTTGTTAGACATTTCCCCTAGTGCAGTGGTCGGCAAACTCATTAGTCAACAGAGCCAAATATCAATAGTACAATGATTGAAATTTCTTTTGAGAGCCAAATTTTTTAAACTGTATAGGTAGGTACATTGTTATTAACTTAATTAGGGCACTCCTAAGGCTTAGGAAGAGCCACACTCAAGGGGCCAAAGAGCCCCATGTGGCCTGCGAGCCACAGTTTGCCGACCATGGCCCTAGTGTATTTCTTCAAAAATTATTTCCTGGTTACAAAGCAACATGTGTTCATTGCAAAAAATAATTGTTACATATTTAACATGAAATGTTTAAAGAGAAAGTCCTTTATAATCCTATTTCCCAAGATACTGTAAATTTTTTAAAATTAATTTTATTTAAATTTTCCCCCCAGTTTTATTGAGATATGGAATTAAAAGTTATATATATTTAAGATGTACAGGTTGATTATTTCAAATTAAATTTTGATTCATTTTGGTAAAAATAGTTATTTTGAAAATTAAATAAGTTTGATTTATATTAAAGTAAATATAATTTGGATCTATTGATATGATCATATTTCCTGAATTTTCCCTTAAATGTCCTACTTTCAAATATTCTGTCTAGTTGTTCTCAACAGATATCAGAACAGCCCAGAAATTCTAATTTTAAAAAATCCAGCCTACTTCTCCCAGGTGGCTTCTGAAACCTGGAAACGGTACCCAAATCCTTTGTTAGTACACTTGTAATTAGTTTTCTTTGCTGAGTAACAAACTCCTCTAAAATTTAGCAACTTAAAACAACTAACATGAATTTTCTGTCTCTGAGGGTGGGAAATCGGGGCGCAGCTGAGCTGGGTGGTTCTAGCTCAGGTCCTTTATGAGGATGAGGCCAAGATGTCTGCTGAGACTGGGAGTGTTTTCACACTTTGGGTTTGTGTCTCCAGAGATAACAAGTTTGCTAAGAACACCACGTGGAAAGATCACACACCTCAGGGTCTCGTGGCTAGTCTTTCAGGAAGAGGGTAACCAGAGGGGGCCCGGAGTCAGAGCCCTTACCTTTCAGTTTCAAGAAGAGGGTGGGTGAGAAGCACCAGGCGTGGGAAGTGCAGCCAGCAACGTGACTCTGTATTGTGGAAGAACATGTATTTTAGTTTCTGTGGAGAATGATTAAAAATTGAGTGGTTTAAATAATGCTTTAAATGAAGCAAACCCAGGTAAGAATGAGAATCAGAATGTCACAGGAAAAAAACAAAAAAAACCCCCAAAACCTCTAGGACAGTGGTTCTCAACCTGTGGGTCGCGACCCCTTTGTCGGTCGAACGATCCTTTCACGGGGTCGCCTAAGACCATCCTGCATATCAGATATTTACATTACGATTCGTAACAGTAGCAACATGACAGTTATGAAGTAGCAACGAAAATAATTTTATGGTTGGGTCACAACATGAGGAGCTGTATTTAAAGGGCCAGAAGGTTGAGAACCACTGCTCTAGGTCATCCAAGACCTGATTTATGTCCCACAGGTAAAAAGGCAAGAGCTAGGATGAATAGAGAGACACAGAGCTGGGTCAACATAGATTTGGTCTTTCTTTGAGGACAGACCCCTCCCTATTCTGACACCCGTTCTCTCTTCTCCTAACTGCTGGCCTGGCTCATTAAGTTCTCACTCTCCAAGGCCCAGGTGCTCTCCCAGGCCCAGCACTGCAGCTCTCAGGGCAGAATGGCCAGGAACTTCTCCAGCAGCAGTAGCTTCAGGTTCAGTTCCTTCGAGGGCATCTCAGGCCTCAGCCACTGGCAGCAGAGTTCCTGGGGACATGGCAGAACTCATGGATCCCAAACCTCCTAGTCTTAGAACTGTCTGAAGTGTGGACAGGCCAGCTCAGGATGGAAGATTCCTTGTAGCAAGATCTCTTCCCTGCCCCCTCAAGTGGTCCTCTGCCTCTACCTTCACTGTCAGAATTCTGTCCTATTTTTGAGGGGTGTGGGTGCCCAAGGACACAGCTCCCTCTCCCCCTTCATGCTTGATCATTCTTAACTGGAGAAGTCCCCAACGAGGCTCACTTGTGCAGGGGAAGATTAAGTTTCAGGTAAACTTCTCATGAGCTTCTTTATATGTAGGCACTTTCTGAAAACCATAAAATCCATTAAAAAAAATTAAAAACCTGATTATAGAAAAGTTCAGTCCCATTAAAGAAAATACAATAATACAATGAACTCTCACATATCCATCACACAGCTTCCATAGCTCAAGGTCCCCTATTTTCTGCCATTCTTGTTTCTTCCACACCCCATCACACTTCCTATTTGTGTGTAGTACTTTAAAGCAAATCCCACACAGTGTACACAGTATATCTTTTTTCTGATAGATAACTCAGTATGTAGCTCTAGGAGTTAAGAAAATTACACTTGAAAAATTTTTTTGGTTAATTCTCACCTAAGGATCTTTTTCCATTGATTTTTTTTAGAAAGAGTGGAAGGGAGAGGGAGACACACACAGAGAGAAACATCTACTGGTTGCCTTCTACTTGTGCCCTGACCAAGGCCCGGGGATCGAGCCTGCAAGGGAGGTAGTGCCCTTGATCAGAAAAGAACCTGGGACTCTTTAGTCAGAGGACTGATGCTCTATCCACTAAGTCAAACCAGCCAGGGCTACACTTGAACTTTTTTTAAAAAAATGTATGATAGTAGAGAGAACAGTTTAGTGATCTCCTTGTACCTATTTCCACCTCCAATAATTACTGACACCTGGCTAATCTGCTTACATCTGCTCCCTCTCTCCCTCCACCCCCCGGGTATTTTTCAAGCAAATCTCAGACATCATTTCACCCATATAATCTGCAGTATATGTTCCTAAAAGTATTTTCCTTTTTAAAGCACAACCCCAATAGCATTATCTCTGCTGGAAGCCAATTCCAGCTTGACAGCAGGGCCGAATCTGGGAATGGCTGAAGGCATTTCCCCAAACCTCAATAGGATACATGAAACTGATTGTTGGCTGCCAGACAGCTCAGGGCATCTTAATCTACATGGTATTTCCTCCTTCTGGCCAAACACCTGAACACTGTAGGGCTAATTCTTCCATTCTGACAATGCCTCTGTATATGAAACCCTGACCCTTTGAAGTGTGTATCTCTGCCTGGCCCCAGGACAATTTGTGTTAATAAAAAGCAAGGGGTCCTAAGACAAGGAGATCTTCGATCTTAGTTTCCTTTAAACTAGGCTCCTCTGACCCCCAAATGCCTCTCAAAATTATATTTCGTCTCTGGACTCCTATTTAATCTACGCACAGCCTTCTCCAGATTGCTGAACCCAACTAGATGCCGGAGCAAGAACCCCGGCATATCCCAACTAAAATTTTAAAACAAATCCTTAATATCATCAATGTTCAAATTTTTCTGATTTTTAAAAAATATTTTTATTAATTTCTGAGAGGAAGGGAGAGGAAGAGATAGAAACGTCAGTGATGAGAGAATCATTGATCGGCTGCCTCCTGCACGCCCCCCACTGGGGATAGAGCCTGCAGCCGAGGACTGTGCCCTTGACCGGAATCGAACCCGGGACCCTTCAGTCCGCAAGCCGAGGCTCTATCCACTGAGCCAAACCAGCTAAGGCACAGTTTTCTGATTTTTAAAAAATTCACAATTTTATGGTTGTTAGCATCATGATCCAAATAAGGTCTACACATTGCATTTGGTTGATAAGTCTCTTAGTCTACAAGTCCACTTCTCTTAAATTATTTTTGTCTTGAAACGAAGTATTTCAGCTGTTTGTTCTTAGAACGAAAAGACACTTAAACGTTGAGCGCCTTTTCTGTGATCCGCACTGTGTCCTGCGGACAGCCCTGGGCCGGACCCTCCGTCGGGGCCATTCCCGGGTTCTCTCTGGGCTGGTACCTCCCTGTCACGCAGTGGGTTGGGCTGGATGTTCTCTACTAAAGGCTCCTCCGGGACCCACAAGGACCCCTCTCATCACTGTGATCCGCTGGACGGATCTACGTCAGCCGAGCGCATTCCCCGGGAACTCTCGCTGCGACCCATCCGAGCGGGGCCGGTGCACGAACGACACCCCGCCTCTCCAGGAGGCCGTCCACCTGCCTAGGTGCTCGGGAGCCCAGGTAACGCCAGAGGAGCTTGCCCCAAACGCGGAAAATCCTCACCACCCGCAGGGCGAGCAGGCGGCGGTCCGCTCTGACCGCGGAGGCGAGCGGTAAGGGTAGCGGCTCGGGCCTCCGGGGCGCGGGCCCGACCCCGTCCAACTGCTGTCCTCCGAGTCCCCTGCGGAGGGTCGTTAGCCACGGGCTCGAGGCTCTACGACCTTTCTGGGTCCTGGGCCAGCAGGTGACCGTGCGCAGGCAGCACCCCACCACCCTCCCTAGCTTCCCCCACCAAGGCGAGGCCGACACCCAGCCCTTGGTTCTGGGGCCAGCCAGAGGCGGCAGAAACACTCGGCTGGGCGGGGGCTTCGGACTACATTTCCCAGGAGACTCCGGACACAGCACACTTCCGGCCGTGCGGCACAAAAAAACGTAACTTGGAGTTGCCACAGAGACAAATCCCCGGGTAATTGAGCTTCTGAAGCCCTTGAACAGAGGAGCGGAGACAGAGGAGAGGGATGAAGTAGGGAAGGAGAATGGGAAATGTGGTTGCAAAGCAACGTGAAAGAGCACAACCCCATCGGCTTACCTTTTTTGTTTCCACGGACGCTCACGGTTCGCACGAACATCGCACAGTCCTCTGGGTAATGAAGGCGATGTTGCCTTAAGGACTATGGGAAATGTAGTCACTGATTAACTGTCTCTACAATGTAATATCATACAGACTTATAGCTGACCTTTGAAATATATTGTGGAATTCTCTTTTAAAGTACCACAGTTTTATTTCTATTTCCCTTTAGAAAAAAAATCCTTGGGATTTTCACAATATCCAAACAGTAAATCCTTTGTGCTCACTTAGGCCTGAGTATTTGCAGGTAACTGACACGTCTGACTATGGCTTTGCACCAGGCCCGCGTTCCGTCCTGAGCGGCAGTGCAGAGTCACTGCTACGATACAGGTGAAATTCTTTCACTAGCACAGTCAGTATAACCACAGGTCTGTATTAATCACGAGGGGTAACCTCTTTACCAGGACATTACTAGAACCTTTTGCCAAGGTAGTAACAGGAAAATGCATCTGCTATAAGCCAGGTTTGCTGAGCAAAGGGGATAAAACCCTTTCATCTTGTCCACCCAAACAAGTTTTACCTCCTTAACATTTACGGAATCTGTGCCTTTCTCTTCATGCCAACACCCCGTGCTGTATTTCAGGCACTGCATTTCCTGATCAACCTGCTCTCAGTCTTGTTCCCTTAATTTGTTCTCCACACTGCCACCAAAGTAATTGTCACTGCTCTGCTTAAGGCTCTTCATTGGCTAAAAGAATCAAGTTCACACTCCTTGGTTGGCATGTGTATTTGACCTTAACTACTGTCTCCTGTTAGTCTTCTTATACATAAGAATCACCCTTTAGGTCAGTGATTTTTTTCAATGGTATGCTGCAAGAATTTTTAAAACATGCATTACCTGACTAGTCAGAGGCATTGACCTCTTTTCCATTAGACTGTAAAAAAAGAAAAATACAACAGCCAATATATCAATAGCCATCCACTGTGGATAAATTAAAACTATACCTACTTTTTTTTATTTTTGTCAGATCAGCAAAAAGTATATTTTGGTGTGCTGCATAATTTTAGTAATTAATTTATGTGTCCCATGAGATGAAAAGGTTGAAAATCGCTGCTCTAGATGGTTCTTCATCTCATGTGATTGATGCTTTAAAGCTATTGTCACTATTTTTAAAAAATTGGGGGCACCAATACCTGCTTTTAACAGTTGCACCCAAAAAAGGAGTTGCAAAGTATTCCCTAAAAGTACTCAAAATAGGTTTCTATAAGTAGAGGCCGAGTTCCTCATACTCTGATAAAATTAGAATTTCATTCCTCTGAACAAAATATTTTTTTACATGATAAGGTTAACTCATACCTAGGTGTTTTCTAGGCCTTGTAAAGTCACACACAGATTAAAGACGATAGTTATTGTATAAAGTACTTATTACAAAACTCCAGGAGGACTATAAATGTAAAATAGATGAGTGATTTTTAACACAATATTTGAAATGTCTAAGATTACGATCCAAAGAGCAGTAATTGTTGAGTGACTCATACTGAAGCTCTAGAGAAGGGAGGCATCCTCCTCCTCCTCCTTCTCCTCCTCCTCCTCCTTTTTCCTGGCTGCTCGTCGTTTATTTTCCCTTGGTGCAAGGCACATGTTTCCAGGGTGTTAGGAAGGCTCATGTGTGGCTTGGATAGTAAAGAGCAGGGCTCTCTCAACGTTCTTTTCGGTGTTTTGCTGTTTTGCTACTAAAGAACCCAATTGCTTCTGCTTGCTGCAGCCTGTCTAGTCTGTGGGGTGGGGTTGGGTCAGGGGAAGAGGGTGGTGAGAGGAGCTCAGAGGAGCCTAGAGCCTCTGGAAGTCTGGTGGCTGGTGGCAGCCACTCAGGATGGGGCCCAGCATTGGCTTTGCCAGACAGGCTGTCAGGCTGCTGCCTTGTGGCCTTCCCGAGCCAAGTCAAAGGTGATCATTTGCTTGAGGCCTGAGGAGATTCTGCATGTTCTGGGGACTCCAACACTGTGGCCATGAACAGGAGAGGGGAGGCATGCTTTTAAAGGCTATCAAAAAGCCTAGATAGGAATGAACTGTAGAGAGCAGAAAGATAGATGAGGTGTTGCGCACATCAAAGCATTAAAAACTTTCCCTTTGAAGTGGGAATACTTGGAAGACACACAATTTCTATTGGCTTTTAACTTAGGTAGGAAGAATGGCCTGTATCATAAATGTAGAAAATTTAAATGATAAAGCAGTTAAGAAGTCATATCAAAAATATGTTATCTATTCTTAACATTCAAAAGCAGAATTTCCTCCCTCTTCATTTATTTAATTTCTTTGGTTTTGGTGTTTAAAATGTGAAACCATTCATTTCTTGCTCAAGGAGAGAGTACATTTGTTGAGAAAACATCAGCCAAGGCCAGAATATGCAATTCTCATTAATCAAGTAAGGGAGACTGAAGTCAAGATTGAGAAGAGCCATAGTTCGAGTATTTTCTTTCTTTTTAAAATAATTTTTAAATTATTCTGAATATTTTATTTTTTTAATTACTTATTTATTTTTATTTCAGAGAGGGAGAGAAAGAAACATCAACTTGACCGGAGGTGAACCTGGGACCCTTCAGTCCATTGGCCTCAGTGGATAGAGCCAAACCGGCTAGGGCCAGAATAATTTTCTTAAGGTACAAATGCAATTACCTTTTCAATAGGTGTCAGGAATACTGTTTTTGTATTAACTCGTGTATGTGTCCTCAGTTACTACAAAGCTCTATTCTTTGTCATAACAATTTAGCTTACTCTACTGACATAACATATCCTGCTGACATAACCTACCTATTGACATAACTGTCTTCTGGTGTTCCCCAGAAAGTATAACCATCTCTAGGAGCTTTCCTGAACAATTTTGAGATATGAGCATTCAAGTTGCAATGTAAGTGAATAAGTCATGCTTGACTTAACTACAGTTAGAATTCCAGAATACTACTTGGTCATTTGATTGGTTCCAAGAAATATGATGCTCATCCTATTGGCAATATACTTGGCAAACCACTTTCACCTTCGAAAATGGTTATTTGCTTAGCTGTTGTTGCTGTGGTTGTGTTGCTTTACTAGGTTTAGTCTCAGAGGGTGACACTCAGCTATATCTACTTGTGGACTCTGCCCAGATGGTGGAAAGAACAGGGGTCCAGTCATGTCCCCAATTCACTAGCTCATCTTGGACTAGTTATCATGTTCTTCCCCTAACCTGCTGCTTCTGCTCCACCAATGCCTCAGTGAATGGCATCTGTTGTAGGCTGAATCATGGCCCCAAAAGATATCTGGTCCTAATCCCTGGAACCTGTAAATGTTACTTTTCTTGGAAAAAGCATCTTTACAGATGTGATTAAGGACCTGGGTTATCTGAGTGGACCCTAACTGCAATTACAAATGTCCTTATAAGGGAGTGAAAGAGGGAGATTTGAGTCAGATACACAGAGAAGGCAATGTGAAGAGGGAGCAGAGATTAGAAGAGTCTGGCCTTCAAGATTGTAGTGATGCTGCCACAAACCAGGGAGTGACAGCAGCCACCTCTATACTTGTCCTCCTTTTAGTCCAGCCCTCATGCTGCCGTCAGAGGGGTTTTTCTAAAACAAAGATCTGACCACATGGATCTGTAGTGAAAATCTTTCAATGGCATCCTTTTTAAAAGAAAGAATAGTTTATTGATTTTTAGAGAGGGAGGGAGAGAGAGAAACGTCGATGTGAGAGCACAACCTTGATCAGCTGCCTCCTGCACACCCCCTACCAGGGATTGAGCCTGCAACCAGGCATGTGCCCTTGACCTGGAATATACCCAGCAACCTCCTGGTGCACAGGACGATGTCCAACCAACTGAGCCACACTGGCCAGGGCTCAATGGCATCTTAATGCCTGTACGATGAAACCCTGACTCCTGAGAGGCCCTCCAGCATCGCCTCCCTGAATTCTCCTGACACGCCCCTCCCCTGCACACTCATACCCACTCACCTCCATTTCCCTCACCCACTCTCTCACTCACTAACCCCCCACACATAATCTCACTGCTCCACACATTCACTTGAGTCATGTTAAACTGAATTTCCTACATAACTAGGCTATTTTATACATCTGTGTTCTTCATATGCATTGTCACATCTGTAATACAAAGAAAGAAATCTTATCTCAACCATATGCTAACACACGCGTGGCAAAAATCATTATTCAGTTAGAAAATAGTTCTGTAAGCCTGGCCAGTGTGGCTCAGTCATTGAGCGTCTACCTATGAACCAGGAGGTCATGGTTCAACTCCCATTCAGGACACGTGACGGGCTTATGAGCTCAATCCCCAGTAGGGGGCATGCAGGAGGCAGCCAATCAATGATTCTCATTATTGGTTTTTCTCTCTCTCTCCCTCTCCTTTCCTCTCTGAAATCAATACAAAATATATCATAAAAAAATAGTTCTGTGAAATCATAAATCAAAACTAGGATGCCAAGGCCAGCAATCTTATTTTATCCTTCCCTTGAAAGGACTGATGGTTGAAATCACCTCCCTAAAATTCCAAGTTTAAACATATGTATATCCCAAATAATGTTTTTCAATACCATTAAAAATGTCCATCAATAAAAATATGCCAACATAAGTGTCGATTTAAACTATCTAATATAACATGCCAATATAAATGGTTATGTGAATTATGCAAATCCCCATGATAAAAGTGAAAAAAGCAAGTTACAGAAAAACTATAATTTGCCACTGTGTCCATTGATAAAACACAGTTTTTTGTAAGCACACAGACTGCCTCTGACAGAAAATGGAAGGTAAGGGTGGGGGCTTTGGAGAAGGGGAACAGAGGGGGAGGGAAGACAGGGAGACTTCGTCACTGAATGTTGTCTTGTAACTTGTGCATGTGTGGCTTATTAAAATAGAAAGCAGCCCTCGCCAGTTTGTTCAGTGGTTAGAGCGTCCACCCTCAAACTGAAAGGTCACGGTTTCCATTCTGGTCAAGAGCACACACTTTGGTTGCAGGCTGGATCCCTGCCCTGGTCGGTCGGGCATCGGGAATGTGCAGGAGGCAACCGATCGACGTGTCTTTCTCACGTTGATGTTTCTCTCTCTCTTACCCGCTTCATGCAGGTTCTCTTCCACTTTCTCTAAATAAATAAATAAACGGGTGAGGATTAACAACAAAAAAGTCGAAAACAGCCTTAGGCAGTATGGCTCAGTTGGTTGAGCGTCATCCTGTGCACCAAAAGGCCACTGGTTCAATTCCCGGTCAGGGCATATGCCCAGGTCATGGATTCCATTCCCTGTTGGGTATGTGCTGGAGGCAACCGATTGATGTTGATGTTTCTCTCTTTTTTAAAAATGTTTTTTATTGATTTCAGAGAGGAAGGGAGAGGGAGGGAGAGACAGATAGAAACACCAATGATGAGAGAGAATCATTGATCAGCTGTCTCCTGCACACCCCACACTGGGGATCGAACCTGCAACCTGGGCATGTGCCCTGACCGGGAATGGAACCGTGACCTCCTGGTTCATAGGCTGATGCTCAACCACTGAGCCATGCTAGCTGGATGATGTTTCTCTCTCATATTGATGTTTTTCTCTCTCCCTTCCTCTCTAAAAATCAATAAAAACATTCTAAAAAAAAATAAATAAAAACACATTTTTCTCAATTCAAAGATTTATAAGGGTTGTACTCTGGCCATTAACAGCAATGAAAGCTGTTGGGTTAATTTTTCTATTGAGCTCTGGGATAATCATTTAAGATTAGATAAAAATAATTTATTTTTCTTTCTGAGCCTGTATTTACAGTAAGCTGAGCATGGAGAATGAATTGGACAGGCCAGCAATGCCAAGAGATAGAGTGACCCTGCCATACACATACAAAGAAAGCAGGGATGGGTGGGGGACGCAGGTGGCTCTGAGAAATGTGCAGGGCCAGCCCCAGGGGCATGAGGCCAGCTCAGCCTGGGGCCTGCTGGTTCCATGGGAGAGCCCATGCTACACGCCTTACCCAGTCTCGCACTTGGTGAGAGATGGCCAGTAGGGTGGCCACTGACATCTTGACAGAGGTCAGGGAGGGAACCCAAGGACCTGCCCTTAGTACAGCTGCCCCACCCCAACAAGGGCACAAGCACTGTGCAGACACTCTAATACCACATTAGGGAGAACGTAGAGGAAGTGGATTGTAATCTTGAATAAATTAAATATTTATTAGAGACTGAACTAACCTGAAAACCTTTAAATCGCAAGAGATGGAGATACAGTGGACTCATTATATTCTATAAAGTCACCACGAACACTGGAATAGTAAATACCAAAGCATTGCTCCTGGGGAAATACAGGGCTAGGTTAAGACAGAGAATAGATGGAATGACTCAGCTCCTTGGGTGACTGGTACCTTCGGGCAGGTGAGGAACATTTCTTACAGAGCCGCAGGGAGAAGAAAGTGTCAGTGGCCAGGTAAGATGTCAGATCTGCAGGGGAAAGAAGCCGGCCTCGCTCGGATGTGGAAGAGTCCACGTGAAGGCTGGTTAGGTGATGATTGACATCTCCTCCCGGTCTCTGCTCTCAGACACTGAGTTGATGATGCTTTTCAAATACTTTATGAATTCCATCCGGATCTCTTCAGGGTCATCCTCAAGATTCGAGTGCACCAGCTTCAGCTTGTTCAAGGGTGGTGCTTGAAAAGGAAAAGAAGGTAATTAGGCACGAACTTTTGCTGAGGGCCATTTCTTGTTCCAAATGATCTGAGTCTTACAGAAGCCAATTGTTTAACTTTCTGAAGTCCAAAATGAAGTGTCTTGCTTGACCTAATTTAACACAAGAAGGCTTCACCACACTGCCACCTGACAATAGGACGACAACTCTACAAGCCACTGCCAGGCCTCTTTGTTCTGATACCAGAAAGGAAGACATTGCTGAATACTGTCAGTCACCTTCTATGATCACACTGTCACTTCTGTAATGGTAGGAGTCACATGCAAATTGGAGTTTTTCTTGAGAAAAGGCCAGTCAGGAAAAAGTGACAGGTGAGTGGCTAAAGCCAGGTATTTCCCCTTGTTATCTACCTGCTTTTATTTATTTTAAAAAAATATTTTTATTGATTTCGGAGAGGAAGGGAGAGGGAGAAAGAGAGATTGGAAAACATCAATGATGAGAGAGAATCATTGATTGGCTGCCTCCTGCACGCCCCACACTGGGGATCGAGTCCACAACCCGGGCATGTGCCCTGACTGGGAATCGAACCGTGACCTCCTGGTTCATAGGCTGATGCTCAACCACTGAGCTATGCCAGCCGGGCCCTACCTGCTTTTAAAGTGTCTATATCCTGGCCTGGTTGGTATGGCCGATCTTCCAGTCTGGTAATTCTGATTTACATGGTGAGAAAAACAAATGCCTAGGACAGCGGTCGCCAACCTTTTGAACCTCACGGACCACCAGTGGTCCGAGGACCACTGATTGACAACTGCCGGCCTAGGACACTCTAGGTGCTCACTAACAGCACATCGCTGCTGCTTTCAAAGACACAGAGCAATATACAAACGCCCAGAACACTGAAGACAAAAGCAGAAAGGAGAATTGCAGTCTTCTTACATAAAGACAGGTTTCCTTTATCACTTCCAGAACCTGGTTTGTGGTGTGCAATTAACAGACACTGAGTATCCTGTAAGAACTGCTGCTGAACAAAACAGGAATACCACATCTCGATTTCCTTCAGGTGGCTTGGGATGTCAGCGTTGAAGATGATCACCACTCCGTGAGAGTCCTTCATCAGGGCTGGCCAGCAAGACTCGAACCTGCAAAGCAGCAAAGGATTACAGTGAATGTTAGGCAGTTCTGGTTCCTAAGAATGGATTTTAAAAATACTCTCTTACTATTGGTAATTGATGGATGACTTCCTTACTACTGATAATAGATCGATGACTTCTCATTGTATTAAAACCTAATCACTAAAGTTTTAAGAGCAATGCATGTCACCAAACAAGTTTCCCAAGCCCCTGATACAGGCTAGGAAGTGTGCTAGGCCAGGGGCCTGGCTGGCAGATGATTTTTGAATCATTTCATGAAGCAAACCCCCTTAAAGGAGACGTACTTTGGGTCGCCGCCACAATCCCATAGCTCAAATTCGCACGCGGTGCCTTTGTTGTTGCTGGTAACGTGTGGGTTCTCAAACTCCAGGATCCTATAAGCAGAAACAGCAGCAGCATCCCTACTTTGGAAATATTATACTTTTGGAATGCCATCAGTACCCCAAGTAGAGGGTGGGTGATGGACAGGGTCTCTCTGGGACACAGATTCTTCAGGGCTTACCTCACTCCTTGAGTGGGGTTGTATTCAGTGATGTCAGAAGATTCTGTCAGGAAGTTGGCCAAAACGGTTTTTCCACTCTGTGAAAATGAAGATAATAAAAAAAAATCTTTTCTGAAGATCGAAAAGTCAACTATAAATGAGCCCTCCAATAGCGGGCTTGGAACCAGGTGAAATGGAGTGTAGGCCACAGCCACTCTGGGATCGCCAGGGCAGAGGGCTCTCGCTAACTTGCTATGTGTGGTGGGCACAGTGCTCTGGGACCCAGGGAGCAGGGGATTCCAGTACTGGCTCTGCCACTGGGTGACTTTACCCACATGGATTTCCCCAGCTGGCTCTCGGTGAGCTTTTCTAAGAACAGAAACAAAATCATTAATGTGAACTTTTCCTCACTTGCTCCTCACACATCTTCAAGAAAAACCACAGTCTGCCAGGGCTCATTATGGAGCCACAAAGGCCAAGAAAGGGGAAGGGAGTTCCTCAAGGTCACGGAGAAGTTCCAAGTCAGAGCTGGGCCACACTCTCATGTAGGACTGTTTCTAGTTCTAGATAATACATTCTTATCTAAAAAGAAAAAAAAAAAGTACTAACAGCCCTCCTAGCCCCTTCTCCTATCCCATACCTTCATAACAATGATGATGTTTTTCACATCTTTTCTATACATTTACATCATTCATTTAACAAACACTGTATATTCCCGAATATAAAATAATTTTTTTTCTCCACCCAAACTATTCCTTAGAAGAAGGGGAATCTCTTACATTTCAGTCCTTATAAAAATTTCTCAAATTATGCTCTGCACTTCAATTACTTTATTTTGAACACCAACTGCTTGATTAGAATGGTCGCAATCAATGTCAGTTTGGGAGGCTTGTAGACGTCATTGAATAAAATCAGGGGAAAAAAATAAATGAAAAGGAGGGGAGGGGCTTAACATTGCTTTAGTAATTTTCCCTGAGGCTATGGCTTCACAAATTATCAGTTAACAATAACACAGTAATTGGATATCATGAATATTTATCTACAGCAGTGGTTCCCAACCTTTTTTGGGCCATGCCCCACCTAAGCATCTCTAAAATCCTGATGCCCCCACTGTGACATATAATTCTTATTATTCAAAAAGTGAACTCCTGTTCACGTGGAGGAAGCCTAAAAGGCCATTAACTTGGTCTAAACAAGCTTCCAAAGAACATAGCAGCCATGAAAGAGCAAAATTAAAGAAAGGACAGTTGAAGTACTGAGGAAGAAATCACTAAGAAACTGTATATAGCTACACTGATACATTAAACATCATTAAAGTATATTTGTATATTTCATCTATGCCCTTAAAATTTACATATAAAGTTTATAGTTGGCTAAACCAATTTCTTACAGGGGTGGGTTCTTATGGGAAAATGAAGAAATTGCCTGTTAGGCCCATAAGAGGTTTTTAAGTGTCTACCTTGTGTCAGGAGCTGTTGATAAATTAGAAAAAGACAAGCCCTGGCCAGTGTGGCTCAGTTGGTTGAAGCGTCGTTCTGAACACCAGAAGGTGGTAGGTTTGATTCCTGGTTAGGGCACAAACTGAGATTGTGGTTTGATCCCTGGTCAGGGAAAGGACAGTTGGCAATCAATTGATGTTTCTCATATCGATGTTTCTCTCTCATATCGATGTTTCTCTCTCTCTCTCTCTTTAGAAAAAGCTGAAGTAGTGATAAGTACTAGGATAAAAATAAAGCAGGGTGATATGATAGAGACTTTGAAGTGGGTGGTCTCGGAAAGCCTACATGAAGTTTAAATTGAGGTTTGAATGACAGTGAGTCAACTGAGACTTCCTAGCAGGGAAAATAGCCAGTTCACAGGCACCAGGGCAGATACAGCATGTTAAAGGAATAGGAAATTAAGAAGTTTGAAGAGTAGCGAGGGAAAGAGAAATGTATATGCAGACATATATTCCGTTGTGGAAGCTGGGTGATGGAGTTCATAGCTCTTTCTCCCTTGTATATATTTGAGAATTTCCATTAAAAATATATCTGTGCTTGTTTTGCTTTTCATAATTCTCTGCATATTACTTGTCTATTTCACTTAATAATTTATGTTCTGGAGAGTTCTCCATGTCAGTACACACAGACTTGCCTTGTTTTGTTTAACTGCTGCAGACTTCCAGAGTAAGAATGTACCTTAGTTTATTTAGACATTCTCTTACTGATGGCACCTAGGATGTTTCCAGCTTTTCAGTATTGAACATGACTCATGGGGGAACATGGACAAGTATTCAGCTACTGCAGATTCTGAGAAATGTAAATGCAGCTCTAAATGGCACATTTTAAATTTTAATAATTTTATCACCAAAAAAGCTGTTATGAATTTATAGCTCCATCAACAGAATCCTAGAGTACTCATTTCCCTGCAAGCATCTGAATCCTGGGTGTTATCAATCTTCTAAACTTTTCTCATCCAATCTGATGGGTAAATGAATGTCATCTTTTTGTTTTAAATTGTGTTCTTGTGACTGTGAAGTTGGGCGGCATCTCACACTTATTAGTCAGTTGTATTTCTTGTGTGCAGAGCTTTTGCTCAGTATTCTACTGAGTTCTCTTTTCTTTACTGATATTTAAACTTTCCTTGTGAACTATTTATCAGTCCTTTCTTTGGATTTATTTTGCAAATACTTTCCCTAACCTTTAACTTCTCTGTCATTTCTTTTAAAGCTTCTTCATTTTTGTGTTGTACATAAGAAGACATTCCCATATCTGAAAATTTAGAACGTATCTATTCATTTACTACAGTGTTTTCCAAGTGTCCTTCCTGAGCCAACAGCATCAATAAAATGCAAGTTCCCATTCATTTACTACTTCCACAGTGTTTTTTTACACGTTTAGCTTTAGTCCATCTGAATTTTATTTTTGTGTATGGTGTGAAGTACACACATAGATTTAATCTCCACCATCACCACCATACATATATTAATAGCTAATTGTTCCAAGACCAGGTAAGAGTCCAATCGTTCCTCCTCCTGGTTTCCTCGTCCCACAGTCATATTCATTAGGGAAAACCTCGAATGCAAAGTGAGATCTAGGTTCTGGTTCCATAACGCCACTCACTAGCTTGGCCTTCAGGCCTCAATGAAACAGGGTCAGTGTCTGGAGACGCAGAGTTCCTGGTGAGGCCAGCGACGCACACCAGGGTGGGTGCGGTGGGACCCGGTCCCACTTCTTGGGGGGGCGCTCCCGGCGCACCCCCGCCTCCGCTCGCCGCCCCCAAAGTTGCCCCCGGCCCCGGCCTCACCTCGCAGGGCCCCACGAAAAGGATCTTGGCCTTCAGCATCCCGGCCCGCCGACAGCAAGGCCCACCAGAGCCCACTCCAGCGCTGTCTGAGACCGCACTGATGTCAGAACGGAGCGGAAGTCGCCGCGCTGATTGGCTGTCTTCGTTTCCATGGATACGGGAGCGGCCCGCGGGGGCCGACGGGAGTGGGCGGATTCCGAGCGCCGGGTCTGGGCGCTAGAAAGCTCCCGGTTGGCTGCGGTGTCCGGGGCAGCGGGACGTGGTCTTCAGGCTGAAAGTCGGCGCACGAGGCACTGGGAGAGGGAGGAGGGAAACAAAAACCCGGAGTCAGACTCTCTTTTGAGCGGGGAGAACCGTAGAGCTCGCGAGTCTGGCCTCTGTCTTCGTAGTCTGGTCTCTGTATTTGCGGATCCTCGATCTTGAATTCCTCGCTGTAACTCCGTCCGCTCAGACAAGGCGGAGCTGGGCAGGAACCGGCCCTCTGACGCCGGTATCACTCGGACGTGAAAGTGGCTGCACTGAGAACGGATTTAAGAAATCCCCGGCACAGTCTGGAAGAGGTCAAGGAAAGGAGCTTCTGGTTTCTGTAAAGGGGCTCATCGCTCAGCCTCATTTGGGGGATCCGGAAGAAACCAGGAGGCTAACGGCCTGGTGTGTTCACAGTGCCGGTGTCTGCACTCATCGCTCCTAAATCTAGTCATTAGGTCCGTCTTCAGTGACAGACCCACCCAGTCCAGAACTTCGGGTGAGGCCATGAAAGTAAGCGTCTGTGTGCTAAGAGTGCCAATAGGAGCTATGCTAGTCCAAAAAAAGTGCTGACGTGATAAACACACACACACAAAAACAACTAAAATAAACCCAATCTTTACTTTTGGTAGGCTAGTTATACAGTCTCTGTATTACAAAGAACTGCTGAGTGAACAGTAAGGAAGAGTCTGCTTCAGTATCAAGATGCCATGAACGGATTGATTGGTTCAATCAATAACTGGAATGCCTACTTTATAGAACCTACCATTCCAGTAGAGTAGATGGATATTAAGTAAACAAGTAAATTAATAACATTCTCTCAGGTAGAGACAATTTTAGGTAGTGGTAAGTGTTATGGATAAAAATAAACCACTAAAGAGAGTGTGAAAGCCAATTTTGGATGGAATGGTTAAGGCAAGATTTAAAAAAAAATACATTTAACTTTAAAAAAATATATATTTTATTGATTTTTTTTTACAGGGAGGGGAGGAAGGGAGGGGAATAGAGAGCCAGAAACATCGATGAGAGAGAAACATGGATCAGCTGCCTCCTGCACACCCCCCACTGGGCAACCAAGGTACATGCCCTTGACCAGAATGGAACCTGGGACCCCTCAGTCAAGAGACTGATACTCTATCCACTGAGCCACACCTGCTAGGGCTGTTCTCCTGTTTTCAATATGTCTAAGTGGTAAGATGGACATTATTAATCACTTTTTAAAAAGTTTTCACTTAATATCTTTAAACATGTTCACACATAGATGTCATTTTATAATAATGGCTAAATATGATTATGTATTTGCTTTCTTTTGGTGTAATCTTTTTCCTTTTTCTTTTGGCTTCTTTACTTCATCCATGACCTCTCCCCTTCCCATTTTTTAACTTGAAGTTTTTGTTCCAGTGAAGAGACAGATAATGAGTAAACCCCCAACAGGAAATTCATGCTAACAATCTTGGATGCATCCTTCAATATTTTTCTTTTTTAAAAAATATTTATTGTTGAAAGTATTACATAGGTCCCCTTTTTTCCCCCATTGACCCTCTCCAGCCTGCCCCTACCCACT